ACGTGGGAGCATTTTTACTGAAAATTCTCTTGGTGTCTTTTGCTAGCCATTCAGGTATGCAAGCCCCAAAATTTCTATTTACAACTATGGGATGCCTTAAAAACCTGGAGAAAAGACTGTCACCAGTTAAAAAATAAAGCCTCCAAGTAGTCATGCAGCAAAACTAGACTCGAGACTCTTAGTTAAAAATAAAAGGGAGGGGAGGTAGGGCAGGGAAAGAAAGACCACGAGCTGTTAATCAGGAGTTTTAAAATATGATTCAGAGAATAACAAAGGAGTGGGTGACAGATTGCAGAACACACGAGCTATTTGCCCCAGACTTCCCTTTAAACCCACACTGTGGTATTGGTCACTTGGAGGTCTTTTCTGATATGACAGTCTGGTTTTTTACCTGATAAGTTGTTTTAGTCTGTGCAAGAGTTTAAATTAGGTAGTTTTACAGGATCTATCACATTTTGCAAGTAGAAATCATGTCAGAAATAAGAGGGGTAATCAGTATAAATGCACTTTTCATGAATCTGCCCAGCAAATCTGGAATTCTGGCTTCTGCCTGTAAATCCCAAAATGCTTTTTTAGCTGAGGACCTGCCACTCCGGAATGATTTCTTTCTATTTCTGGTCAGTTCTTTCTGTTTTCACCATTCTTTTTGTCTATTTACATTGAAAGAACCCAGCATTAATCAGATGCTCTGGAGATGCACTGGTTGCCTTTATTCTGGATTTTTTTCTCAGTCCAGTTTTGTCTTCCATAAACTATTGTGTTTCTGTTACTGTCTCTTCATGCATCTCAGGTGACTGAATTATTTGGAGGATACTTGGATAATCAGTTGGAAGCAACAGTCTCCAGTATATCTAATTCTCTGTAGTTCCTTCCTAACTCAGATGTTCATAGTTTAACACTTGTATGTTCCATATTTCTTTTCTTGAATTACCTAAATGCCACTCAGATACATTCAAATTAATTATGCACTGCATAAACAAATTCTGCTAGAGATCTTTCAGCCCTCTTTTTCCATATCCATCACTGGATGTTGGTGTTTGGGAGTCTCCTGTATGTCAGCTCTTGCTTCCTTAATCTGATCCTAAGTGAATTAAAAAATGCTCTGAAATTTTTAGTTCTCTACAGTCATGAAGACAAGACTAAGCATTTTACAAACTCTGCTCCTGGTTTGGAGAATTAGGTTTGTCCCATCACATTTATACATCCATTTTGCAGAAGCCTCTTCTGCTCAGTGATCCTCTGACAGTTCCATTTCAGATTCATGAGTTGCAGGAGTGTCTATGGGCATTATTTCCATTTTATTATTAGTTTGTTTAGTAGATATTTATTCAGTACACCATTTTCCTATTACTAGTGACTGAATATTTCCTGAAGCGAAAGGTTTCACTAGTAGTTGTGTACGGGCAGACTTCCAATAGTAAGAGGCTAAAATTATAAACCCTTTATAAAAAACTGTGCCTTTAAAAGTCGGGTCTTATTTCAGAAAGATTGCTGGTGGCTCCAATTTCATGCTCAGGCTTCTTTGGCATTTCATTGGGAGGCTAGGGCGAAACTCCTTTCTATATATATATTTTACTCTAAGCCCCTGCTAATAAGTTATTCCAATAGATTTTCTTTAATGGATTTTCATCTTCTTATAGTCTGAGTCTATAGTATTTTTCATTACTGTGTTCAGCTGTTTAAATTACTAAATGTAATTCTTGGAGTTTCATGAAGAAGCACACTCTGTAATGAGTTCTTTACAAACCTTTCATAAGCTGCTGTCTCAAGCCAGTTGTGTTATACAGTAGTGTATAAAGTAGGTCATAGTTTTTTCACAGTTATGCTGAAACAACCAAGTGTCAAAACAGAACACCAGACCTGTACATTAAGATGAGGGAAAGTAGTGCCTGCTATCCAAAATAGATGGTAAAGATGTTTGAGCTTAATGCATATATAAATAGGACAAAGGCCAATCCTCAGACAGCTAATAGGAGTTCTGCAGATTTTTGATTATTCCACTCCCAGGAGCAAAGGAACAGTAAATCCAGATACACTCCAGTGCTTCCTTTAACCATCATCTGTGCCTCAACACTGCAACACATACCTGATAAACTATGTCAAATGAGCTGCACTCCCAAGGAACGTGGCAGACCAAGTAGTAGATGACCTTATTGTAGTAGGAGCAGCAAGTCAAAAATAACAGTTAACAGTTGTGCTCCCCAAGAGCAACCCCCACCTCATTTCCAAGGAGATTAAGCACAGTCCCCACTAGTGCTTATTATAGTGGTGGCTATAGTGTCCTATGATTTAGAACATGCATGTGACTAAAGGATACTTTAATCAGGTTTGTTCACTATTAAAAATAAAAGTAATGAGTAAGGAGTCTGAAACATAGTGGCAACAAAATCATATGACCTATACAGGTAGAAACCCTAATATTAGAAATAAGTGATATGTGAGATTTTATTTTTTTGTAACACATACTGTTACAACACTTAAGGGTCTCAGTTCCTCTATGTCTTAGGACTGAAAACAGGATCTAATGTTTTAAAACCATATGAAATACTGTGATCATGCTGCCAATGAGCATGATTGTGTTACTTCTGCTTAAATCTAATGTTACACCTCATTAAACCAGTGATTATGTATTCTCTGTAGATAATTTTCACACATTCAGTTACACAAACATCTTGGGATTTAAGGTGTTTGTCATTTTCCTGGGAGCTGAATCCAGCCTCCTGTGAGAATGGTTTTTTTGGCATCACCCTGAGTCTGGCAGCAACTGCACAGTTGCAATCCTGTGACATCCCCGGGAGTTTGTTCTGCCCAGTTATGCCCATACGCCTTTTCCCAGCATGCTGGAAATCTCAGTGAGGAAAAAGAAATGTTCTCCTTTGCAGTAGAATCAGAGTTCTGCAATGGTAGGGATTTGCCAGCATAACTGCACACAGTGACTAGGGACATAAAACCATAATGTGGGAACGATGCTGCTGAAGTTTGACTTTTATTACTTCTTTAAATGCAACTGAAAATAGAAATGGATCTTGCTCTGTTTAAGGAATGACAGGACTCCTGAGACCGAAATGGTTAAAATTCAGCACAGGAATGGCATGGTTGTAAGCTTGGTCATTGGTGTTGACATTTACACTGTTCATTGCTTTTAGGTATGTGTTGTCTGAAAGAAATGGGCTGGATTATCAGCGAGTAGAACTTGTTCTAAACATCTTCCTTAGGCACTTCAAAGTATTTTAAGCAAGTTAGTTCAGTTTGAGGTGTCACATCCTGAAAAATACATTTTTCCAATGGAAATTTCTAGTGAAAAGACTTAGCCAGGCACTTCTTTCCCCATCTTTCCAGCTTATCTGAATCCTGAGGACATCTTACTTTTCTATCTGCATAGGAAGCAAGTATATGTCAGAAACTATTTAAACAACTGCTTGAAATTCAGATTCCTGCTGACAACCTGTGCTTCCTGGTTAGTGTGATGTGATTTGAAATTGTTATGCTTAAGTAACACAGGTTATGATAAGACATGGACACTCCCAACTAAAAGCACTGCTAGCAGACACCTAAAACTCCTGCTTGCTTTAATGGTAAAGTGTGTGTGAGCCCTGAGGGTTTTGAATATGTTGCAATGTTTATGAAATATTTGCAAAGGCCAGCCTCATCACATCAAGGAATATTAGATAAAATTTAATGTGCTAGATAGTATTTTGTATATAGGATATTCATAGTCATATGGGATATTGAATCCACTCTTGATTTTTCCCCTCACCAGCTGTACAAGCAGAAGGCCTAAAATTCAGAAGGGTCTTGTGCCAGGAAGGCACTTGGCACGTATTGCCTTGAACGTTGTAGAACATAGGGTGTATCCTGCCACTGCAGTCATATTTGGGGTTTCTAAGGTACTGGCTGTGTCCCTCCTCCTCATATATCACTTCTCCTGTGTGTTTTTTACGAGCTGAGATCTTCCAGGTTGGTAGCACATTGAGCACCTTAAGTTAACACATGGGCCTGTTTCATCTCAGTACCCTGGGTATGTACCAAGAGAATTTTGTTTGCTGGTTTTCAGTTGCATGCCTTGGAAGGGTAACTAAGCCCTCCTGAAACTATGTAAAAAAGGGGATTTTTTTTTTTTTTTTTTTAGTTTAGTTGGGGTTCTTTGCCTCTAGCATAACTTTTACATATAAATCTCCCCATAAACTTGATGTGAAAGGTGTATCGTACAGATGCATCTCCTGAAGTGCAGGGAGTAGAAAAACAGATTTTTTAGGTTAAAAGGCAGTTTGTAAAATTCTAAAATATTAAACCCAGAATATGATAGCTGAAATCACAGGAGTAGAATGAGGAACCAGACTGTTGTATCAGCAGAAGAAAAACATTAGGTTAATCTGTATTACAGCACTCTGAAAGAATACAGCGCTTTGAAAACAGCTTTCACTAGGGGGTGGGACATTTTACTTTTATGTAGAGCTTTTGTTCATTTAGAATTGTTTACTCCAGCAAGCAACCCTGTGCTCTTTGTTTGACTGATTTTTTCCCATTTGGCAGACCCTTTGCAATCACATGGATAACATTCTTCTTTCACTGAGACATAGAAAAACTATTCTTTATTGACCTTGCTTGTTGTCCTAAATGACAAAAATATATTTATATACTAGGTGAACTGTATGACTTCATCCCTGACTTTTAATTGAAAATTCTTCAAAGCAAAAACCTCAAAAAGCTGCTTTCATTCTTTTTTTTTAAGAATCCAGTGACTTACTAGCAAACAGCTCTGCCCTCAGCTTCAGATGCACAACTCCCACAGCTGGCATGGAGAACTACGTGCAAGTATCTGAGTGCTGAAACTGTGTAAAAAACAACAAAAAAAAGCCATGCATAAAAGAAATAAGCTTTTTGGGTTGAGTGGGGGATTTTTGTTTATTTATTGAACAAGAGAGTATTTGCTGTGGAAGTATGGATGTTTACTTTTTTGTTTCTTTGCCTGTTAATGGGGTTTTTTTGTATGGTTGCAGTGGGAAGCACCTTGGAAGACCCGGAAGAACATAGCCCAGATTATTCAATATGTCAGCTTTAGTTTCCTCACTAACATTGCAAAACACAAAGCTCATGGACTATAAACTATGTGATACTGATTTAGAAACTCTCTTAGCATTGTAGTTTTACTTTTACACGTGAGGTATTGTAAATCAAAGGGAGATTATATAAGGATCTAGCATGCCAAGACAAAATTCAGTCCTAGTCTAAGTGAACACAATTCCGTTAAAACAGATGGTATTGTGCACATTTAGCCAAAAATGTTCAGTCTGTGTTTATCTTGTTTTCCTGAATGCTCACTTAAAACCTTTTCTGACAAGAACAAAACTCTGGATTAAATAAATGGGGTTACACCCACACGTAGGCAAGTGTTAAAGCTAAGGCAAAAATCTTCATTTGGCATAAACTGGACTTCACTGGCTCGTGCAGAGCTGTGACAGTTTACACAAATCCAGGCCCTGTTCAGAATGATTTGCTGAAACATTGTGCCCCTGCAATTCCAATGGAAGGCAATGAGAGCTGGGGTTGCTCTGCATTTCTGCAGGGGAAAAAAATTCAAAGGCCCTTTTGTTACCACTTTGCACGTGTGCTGAGAAAGGGTAGAATTAAGATCCCAGTGGCGGCATTTTCACAAATCTTATGTATGGTACTTACCTGTGTTAGGTCCAGTAAAACTCAGATTGGGCCCTCTGCTAAGGAGCCTTCATTTTTTTAACTTAGTCCTGTTGAGCATAGTCTTATTAAACCTTTATAATTTCACAATTAGAGAAGATATTTGCAGTTCTGCTACTAATTCCATATAAGTCAAAGATCTAGTTGTTTCAAACAAACACATGATAAAACATGGATAAGAGCACTTGCTGTGGCTCCACATGGATTTCTTCCATCACTTACACAGACTTTGTCTTCACTGTTATACCGGTACCCACCCCTCGATTTTTTTCCTGGGTAGTGATAGTTGTTGCACCAGATCTGGAAAATCAAACCATTTGAAGAAAAAGCCTTCTTCAACCCCAGCTGTATGATCCTATCCCTTCCTTTTCCCAAGCATGAGCAATTGAGCCAGGACAGGAAACTGCTGAGCCAACTGGAAAAAAAAAAATCACTAGTCTGTTAAGAGTTTGGCTGCTCATCTCTTTGACTGGCTCACTGTGGGTTTGATAGGTGCCAGAGCTAAGGGTAAGCATGGGAACGTGGCCAAAGGTGGAGGAATGTGGCCTCTAGAAGCCTGTTTCCTTCAGTTTAACTTAGCTTACACTTACAATGCTGTCTGTAACACCATCAGTTCACTGTAATGGAAAAAACTTCAGGTGGATTTTAACAGCAAGGTAACACAAACATTGTAAGTAAATAGTAAAGCCTTTATTCTCGTTAAGAACAGCATTTTGAAAATAAAACATTTGCCCATGCTTTACAACCTTTGTAGTTTTGTATACTTATGTACAGTCATCATGGTACACATTGATTGTCTTGAAAATCCTTTAAAGATGTACTTAATAAGATACCAGTATGCAACAATCAGCGGAAAAAAGGGTACGTTATAAAACACACGTTAATACATTTAATAAATATATATTATCTATCAAAAATGAGCTTTAGCTCTCATCAATTAATAAAAAGCACCTGCTTTGTAATCCTGTAAGTTGGTAGAATAGTCCAATTGTTTTATTATAAAAGCTACAATGCTCCCTTTTGTATGGCCTTTGGTTAAATCCAAGGCATCAAGCTCAAACAAAGCCAACCAAGATGCCTGTGTTTAGACTAAAAGCTGAAACAGCTAGTTCTGTAGTAGTTCATGTACCTTGTTTATAGAAACAATTGTATGTCTTGAGAGTGTTCTTCTGAAGATGCTACATATTTTCTGGCAAGCCTCAAACACCCTCAACTCATCTGAAAGCGGGACAGGATCTGTGAAGAATGGCTTTGAACTCTTTTCCAGCCATTGACCAAAAGCCAGTCATTATAAATCTTGTTTTGGTAATAGTTTTTTCAGATGCTTTGTGATTCCATTTTTCTGCATGGAAACACCATAAGCACATAACCATCAAGGGACAACACAGTAGCTTTTATAGTATAAAAGCTAATTATAATTAGGAGAACTGTGAAAGGCTTGTGCTTACTTACTTATTATGTTGTTCACAGATGCTCTACATTCTAGAAAACTTTCAAAAAAGGCAAAAGTAAATACTGTAACAAAAATATAAGTTAACATAAAGGTGCCTTTCTTCAATTACAGTTTTATTTGGGGCATTTTACATCACAGACTAGTTTACAAAAAAAAAGTTGCTTATTACTAATTGTATAAAGTTGGAAAATAAAGACCCTCCTAATCTATTGCCACACTTTCACCACCACACGTTAAACCCAATCCTGCTGATTTTTAGTTTTGTAAATAGTCCACATGACTAACCCAATGAGACTAGTCATGTGAGCAGCAGTTTGTAGGATCTGGCCTTATCTTTGCATAAGGCCTCAAATTCCAAACAACTTCATCAGAAGCAGGATTGGGAACTCTATTTATCAATTCAGTCACATCTAGAAAAAGAAAAAAAAAGTTTCTTAAGATAACTATATCTTGTACAGATTTTGTCCAAGGTCTGTAAAATGTGTATTATACTTCATCAGTCTTGGTTGTAGCATGATAAACTTTTAAAAAGAAAGCTGTCCTACCATTTGTGCCATGGTCATCTTATATGTTTTTATGATAGAGTTTTATGAGGGATTTTTTTAATTGGTTTTTAAAAGCAAAATTCTGCAGGCAAGTGATGGGTAATAGTTTTTTTATTGTTCCAAATTATGCATCATATGGGTAGCTATCATTATCTCAAATAGTCTTATTTGATCAAAGCTCTGCTTAAAACAAGCAAAATGTATTTCTAAGTCGCTGGATAGCATGCAATATCCACCCCTACCCTACTTGGTTACTAAGGCCATCTAGTTACATACAAAATGAAATAAAGGATCCCTAAAACAAGCACATGCTTCCTTTGCCTCGAGGAGGGAAGGGCAGGGGTGTGCTAACGTACTCCTTCACTCATGCATGACAGAAAAACATTGCTTCTGGAGGAGAAGGGCTTTGAAATAAACCCCCATAAGATGATCATGGCAAGAATGGCAATATATATTTTTCCATATATATATATACATATATCTGTGTGCAACACTTAGGGACTGGTCTTGCAGCCTCTGTACCTGTATGTAGACCTACTGGTGCCGATGGGACTACTCGTGGGAGTACAAGTCTGCAGGACTAGGTTCCTAATTCAGTAGAAATGGAGGTACATGAAGAATCAGGAAGACTCTTGAAAAATAAAAAGCTTGTCTTTCTTTTGCAGTACACAGCAAGTAACTTCTTTCTCTGAAGCTACTAAGCTATTCAGTTATTTGTACATTTTATTTTTTTTTAGTTTGAAAATATATATTTTTATTACAGCATATGCAAAGTTTAATTGTTATATGTTTCCTATGCCTTCAAGTAAAAACAATTAGCTTTTAGTATCGAGGAAAGCTAAGATTAACATTGGCCAAACAGTGAGGATACAATGATGTTTTCAATGTCCGATATGTATTAAATGTTAAAGAAAGGAATGATTGCTTCAACATAATGAAAAACCATGGCACAAAAAATGGGCAATGGGAACCTTTTAAATAACCTGGAGAAAACAAAGATAAAAAGGTTTGAGAAAGTCTGCCTTATATCAACTCAAGAAAATGGATGGGGAGGGGAGGAGTAGGGAAGAAACCACCTTAAATAAACAAAAACAACAACAAACCACCTCCAGCACGGAGATTCTACTCTCTAGGCACTAAAATGCACAACCACATTTAAATGCACAAATAACTGCAGTCAAGGGGACTACTCATACGAACAGGGACTAGAAAGGGAGGTCTCGACCCTACTCTGCTGCTGAGTGTCTCCCAGGGGTGGTCAGTGCTCCCCAGCTGCCCCCGCGCTCCCGCCTGGCCATCAGCCCGACCCCAGGGCTGGGCAGGGCAGCAGCGCTGCCTTTCATCCACCAGCACAACGAACTGCTGCTGCAAACGCCACCACTCACATTCCCTCCCAGCTAAACCTTTGCCAAAGTACAGCCCTGCAAGGTTCCACTGAACGGCTTCGCCTGCAGGACATGTGGGAGTGCGCAGCTCTCCGCTCGCAACCGGGATCGAGGCTGGAATAACAGGGAATCCATCCCGTGAGGCCGAGGACGGCTGCCTCTGTGCTGGACCTGCGCTTTCCCTCTCTGCCTCAAGAAGCTCCATAACTCGCGTGAAACATGCCTAGACCTTTCACCCCTCCAGAACTGCACCTCCTAGACCAGCTTGTTGAAGAGCAGTGTATCAGCCTACGGCGTAATGGGAATTTAGTTGCCACAGAGTGACAATGCTTGACTACACGTGACTGTACAGTACAGCTACATAATGAGCAAACAAGGTACTTCTCATGAGGTTTGAAATGAAGGGAAAAGGAGCAAAATGGAAAGAAGTCCTGCGTGGCAATCTCTTGTGGCAACATGAATTAAGTTTAGGTGAGAGGAGGGTATTTTGCAAGCAACTGGCAACCACCAAAAACAGGCTTGCCTGGCACACAAGTTACAGACAAGAGAATATCTTACATTTCAGAATACAATATCCCCTCTTCCAATTTAAGGTGTGCCTACTTCAATTTTAAGTTAGATTCAGCTTCAGTTTTACAATTTTGTTTCTGCAATTCTCAGTTCAATGGTGTTCACATTTAGCCAAAATCCTCTGTAGGATTTCGAAAGATCCTGGATGTTTTGTTGCTTTGTTCTGGTACTGTTATGGATTCCTTCCCTCAAAGACACACTGCCAGGGAACAACATCTGCAACAAGGATTCTTATTCTCTACAGCCTACAGCCTTTCACCAGAGGTGTCGTCCAGTGTAACTTGGCGGAGCAGTTGGTATCTGGAAATAAGGATAACAAACCCATAACTGAGAGATCTAAACTGTTCAAAAATCAGTGTTATCATGCTACATGTACATGACAGCTTTCCAGATGGTAGTTCTAGAGCAAAGTGATACAAAGAGACTCGTCTTCCACCCATACAGTGCATTCACCTCTCTGTAAAAACCATGAATATATACA